GAGGTGTTGGCCTTAGTTACTTCCCGGCAGCTTCCTTGCTCTGATATCCCAGGAGGTGGCCAGAGAGAGTGACACCCCCCCAGCCCCTGGAGGAAGGGCCTGCTCTGGATGCTGAAGTTCATTGGATGCTCCTTGGTGGTGGCCAGGGATTGGCACCAGGCCTGAGAGCCTAGTGTGGCCAGAGGGAGTGAGCAGGTGGGACGCCACTTCCTCTCCTAAAACAGAGCACCCACTCCCTCCTTACTTCAAGCCAGGCCCCTCTTGTCCCACTCTTTCCTCTGGGAAGTTGTCACATTGCTGGGTGCCAGCCTGGAGTGTGACCCTGGTCCAACATGCCCAGGACCCTATTGGCCTGGAATGTAGAAAAGAGTGACAGTGAGTCAGGGGCCTAGGGAAGACCCTTCCTCCTCCCTGTGCCCACTGTCCCCAGCCCTAGAAGTGAAGGGGTCAGAGTTCACCGTTAAGCTCTGAAGCTGGAGCAAAGGAGCACAGAGTGAGACGTCACGGCTGCTGGCTCTGGCCACCACCGACCAGGTGCAGCCCTGCAGGGCAGAGGGCAGTGGGCAGCGGACAGCCCTCCCCACCCATTCTGGGGCCCCGTGATCCGGAGGGTGACAGCTCTGCTTCTGTACGAGCCTTGCTCATCTTCTCCAGTCTTGCCAAGGAGGCCAGAGGGAGACCACCCAGGCCCCAAGACTGGGCTACAGATAAGGGTGGGTAGGAAAGGAGTACCCGCCTGGGGTGGGAAACAGAAGCACAGAGACAGAAATAAACCGCAGAAAGCAAATAGACATTGCCAAGACAGCTGAACTCATGTGGGAATGGGGAAGGCACGTGCCTGTGCGCACTGCACCTGCGCGTCAGACTGGACATCTGTCCCAACACCCATGAGATGGGGAGATGGGTGACCTGATTCCTAAGGGCTCTTTCCCCCAGACTTTCTGTGATTTCTTGACACCAACAGTCATGGCTAAGGCCAGCTGTGTCTGGGCCATGACAGGTTATAGGAACTCCTCCGGTGTCTGTTCCTTGAATAGTCACGTGCGGATGGGTGTGGACATTTGCCCAAGTCCCACAGCAGAGCTAGGCTCCCTCCAGAGCCACTTTTGCCACTACCCTACGTGGTACAGGGCCACATGGCTGCTCCCCTGGCAGTGGGGTCGCACTCCCTCCCAAAGTCAGCTCACCACCCCTTCTTCTTTCTCCTGGTCCTCCGCGAGCACCAGTCCTGACCAGGCCAGCAGTGCTCTCCCTGGGAGGGGCTTTGGAGCCAAACCTGGGCTCTGACCCTGGCCCCACCCTGCTCTGCCATGGGGAGAGGCCCACAGCTGGCCTTAGCCATGACTGTTGGTGTCACTGTAGCCACGTGCAGGCAGGTCATTGGCCTCTCTGCACCTCAGTCTACTTGGGTGGAAAAGGGGGTGCCACCTGCCACCTGGGATGGTGGCGAAGGTGAATGAGGTACTGTGGGTGCTGAGCAAAGGGGTCCTCAAGCCTTTCCCTGCTCCTTGATCTCTGTTCTAGGCAGGAGGGTCAAGGTAGCCAAAAGAAGGCTGAGGATTCAGTCCTGACTTTGCTCCCCAAGGACAGAGGCTGATGCCCAACTGTGCCCTCAGCATCAAGCAGATGCTAAATCCTGGAGGGAACAAAGTTCCACGAGGCACAGTGGTCTTTGGAGACCTGTAGATCCCTCAGCCCCTGGTGCCCCAGCAGGGGAGGTAGGACCACCACCATCTGACTTGCAGGGTGACTGTAAGGACATGCATGTCTCAAATGTGCCTGGGGAGGGAGCAGGCACAGGGGCCTCCAACAGATATGGACTTGGAAAGCTGGGCACCAGGGTGGACGTGCATGAGGAATACCAGTGGCCTTAGAAGCTCTAGAAGGTGCTGACCTCACCTCTCCAGCTTTACTGCTGAATGAATGTGGACTTTAAGGGCTTAATATTGTAGGCATCTCTAGGTGTAGCCTGTCTGGAACCTACTTAATCCCCCAACTGCATCTGCCTGTTGAGAAAGACGAGGACCCAAGAAGCAAAGGCCCAGACAGCGGCCGGGGACAGAGGGCTGAGTGCTTCTGCCCAGTGCCCTTCAGTGCTGTCGTGACCTGGGCCTGGAGAGATGCAGCTCTCTCCCTGGACCAGCCTCTACTTCTGCCAGGGCACTGCCTGGAAACTGCTGCGGACCTGCAGGACGGCGGAGTCAGCAGCTTGGCTGGGACTGTAACAGAGCCTGTGGGAAGCACCCTGTGTACACACCTGGAGAGGCTGTAACAGTGAAAAATAAGGTGCATTTGGGGTGGGGCCAAAATTCTCCGTGGCCTTTGCAAGAAATAAAAAAGGGCAGAGAAAAACAAGTGAACACCTTGCAATGAGCTTTGATGACTCCAGTTCTGCAGGCCAAAGAGAAGCAGGCCGTGGTTAAGCTTCTGAAGGTGCCAAGTCAACACAGAATGCCCTGAGGTGTGACAATGAACATGGCTGTGCCTACTGTGGAGACATATGAAATAGCAAGCCTGGCCGCTGGTCAGCAGGCCCAGCGCCAGCTGTTTACCGGCACCTCCCCACGTTCTCCCTCCTTGCTTTGCTGTCCCAGGCGAAGCTGCTCTAATTTATCCTCCCCATGCTGTTATGTAATAGTTCTATATACCACAATGCACCTGCAGTGGCCTCTCAGACCACCAGAAAGTGGGAGACCACAGACACACATGGGAATGAGCTTCCTCTAGCCCCCGTGTGAGACCTAAGTGTGCCAAGATCAAGGTCTTCACCCTCCTCACTAACTTGGACCTCACCTGAGACATGGACCTTTGCTAAAGAAAAGGCAAAACAAATTCACAAAAATGAGAAGCTATGAGTTCCTTACTACATGACAGGCAGTTTATCTCGCAGAAACTTTGC